CTCTCTCTCTCTCTCTCTCTCTCTCTCTCTCTTTCTCATGAAAGTATCATTTCAAGCAGTTAACTTCGTATGAAATTACTTCATGTTTTTCGAGTGATTCAATAAGTTTTTTTTGCCATTAATTTTGTAAACTTCAAAGCACAATTTAATTGGAAACTTTTTTCGTTCCTTTATAAAATTTCAGAAATAAATTCAGAAACTTTCATAATCAATAAAGAATTATGATTTCAAAAGTATTTTAACTTGATTTTTTGGCAAATTATTACATTTCCCACAAAAAAAATATTGCCGTCTCTTTTTGAAAAATGGGCCATATTCTTTCTCGAATTAAAAAAAAAACCAATAAATTTTATCAAAGGAGAAAACAGAATAATCATAATTAATACCAATATGATTTCTTCATACTTATTTGAAATGAATATTTGGATAATTTTTATTGATAATAATTATCAGTGTTTTATTTCACTTTTTGAATAAATTTTCTCTTAAAATTTTCAATGTCAACATTTATTCAAATTTTCAACAATTTATTTTTTCAAAAATCTATCGATATATATACCTCACAAAAATATCTCATATGGGAATTATTAAATTCTGATTATTACTATAACAGTTATTCATTTTCGGTTTCAACATCGATCAGATAATGTATATTCAACGTGTGCAACCATGCATGCTCGTTACTGAACCAAATTTTATAGACTCCACTTTTTTCACATTTGATTTCCTCTTTAATTGGTACCACAGTTGGTCCAGGCATTTTCTGAAATTTAATTTATTTTTTCGCCATTTGAATCTAAGTTTAAACACCAAAATTTTCGAGAAAATTTTTTAGTTTTTGTTGCGAAAAAAGAACTGGATTAGAGAGAAAGAATATGAGTAAGTAATTGCTTCAAAATGATTGTAGTTAAAATTAGTTGAAATTACAGAATCCTTCATTTTAATGATTATTGAAAATTTTTGATGAAATTTAACAGTTACAGTATTAGTCTATACTTATTACAGAAATTTATTTTAATTTACTGAATAAATTATTCGAAAAATTTAAAAAAAATTGATGATCATTATTGCATGGCTATATGATTTGCCTGATTCGGTACAATTATCTTTATCGGATTTCAAAATGATTCCAGCATTATACGTACCAGTAATACAGGATAAATGTTAACTAATGAATTTGAATCTTTACAAGACTGATTATCGACATAAAAAACTGTGAATCCAAAATGTCCATCAGCATGAATGCACCATTTTATTATAGAACCCTGAAAATTTGCCTAATTTCATAGAGTTATTTTAAAATGAAAATTTATCTTACATTTCAAAAGCATTAATATACCAATATGCACTGTCCCATTTTTAATTTTAATTAATAAATTTCAAAATAAATTATTAAACTTGTCGTAGTTGTTCAACTTTACAATGACAAAAATGATACCTTTTCAGCATTCACATCGATTGTACCTGTTTTTCCAGCACCAACTGATAATACTTTACTCTTCTCATCCAACCTTCTTTGATGATAATGCTGTGGATCGAGTGCTTTAGCACGTTCTATTTCTGCTTTGAATACCTACAATTTAAACAACAAGTACACATTATCTAAAAGAAATGAAAACTCCTAAAACTATAGGATTTTAATTTTATTAGATACATTTTCCTTTAACATTTCTGCTGTGTGACATAAATTAAAAAAGTAAACCGATAACAGAATACATGAAAGACTGTAAATGAGCCAAATGATTATTAAGTTAATATAGCCAGTGAGGTGATTTAATTACAATCACACTTTTATATTGTCATCATTCCAATATGACGGCAATGCTTCAGGAACAATGAAATTTTGAATTTCCGTTTTCCAATTTGAACCAAATATAGCAACTTTTTGACGAGTTCGTTCCGGTAGCAACGGCTTTGCAATTGCCCTGAAAAATGAATAAATGATTTTATAAAGGAATGAAATGGAAAAATCGTATAATCAAAATAATTAATAAATAAACGAGTAAATCTATTACTTGAAATTATCAATTCATAATCAAACGATTAGTAAATCACAGAAAAATCCGCTTGTTATTTGTCTTTTTAACAAAGTCAAACTAATAAGCGATGAAAGTGAATGAGTAAAAGTAAAACTATTACTTGAAATAATTAATTTGGCACTTTAATTAAATATAATTAATCAGTGATATCTACCAGAGAGAAGCCATAAATGACGGTGCATTGACAAGCACAAATTTATTGACCATCTCTACGTAATGCTCACTCATGAACGTCGATATGCTGGCTAATGGACCGGTCACTAATGTAAACAGACGTTTGTCATATTTCAAATCGGTCAAATCCATCACATACATAATAGAGGCTTGTTCACCTGCAGTTTAATAAAAGATTAATAAAATTTTAATTAGCAAGATTATCATAGACTGTTTTAGCATTACTAATTAATACAAATAATTCAAATGATTTAATTACTTAACTACACTTCTCAATAAACTTATCTATCTACTTTCTAATGTAGTAACACTTACATTTTTCATTCATTGAATTTCAATAGTAATTCCGATTTTTTTCATGTTAAAGCAAATAATATTACATATTAATTTTGATTTGAAACACTTCATACTATATAATATTTAACCTGCACCATTGATTAGAATTTAATTTTAATCAATGGCACACGTTTTTTGAATATTAACATTTACACATTTTAAAATTTTATATAATTAAACGAAATTTTATTTACCAGTTTTTTTCTCCATTTCCATTATTTCGTGAAGCAGTATTTCGAGATCCTGCGTTCGGGCAACCATAATTTCATTCACCGAAAATGTTTGTATCATTCCCCAATAATCATTTCGTCCGGTTTGTTCGATATTAACAATAACATTTGGAGTTCTTACTGCTGGACCAGTTATACCAGCCTGAATTGTAGAAATTTATAACTGACAACTACAGATCGAGTTATATCAAAGGCTAAATTTTAGAAAAATACTTGGTTAATTACATTAATTTTAACCTAATAGATAAGCGGTTGCAAGATTAATACGTGAATGTACCTTCCAATAAGTATGTAATGGATGACTGCGAGGTTTACTTGCCATACCGTCCAAATTCCATTTTGAATTTCTAAGGAGTAAATGATTTTTCAATTTCGGGATTATAACATCAAGATTGTAGTTATGACCTTGGAGCCATCGCAATAAGTTGAAATCGGTGTCATAGTATGAAGTGAGCTGATCAGTTCATTTTTATTTATAGCAATAAAGAAAGTTTTAAGATTTTAACAAATTTTATTTAGTTTTTAATACATATTTGATCGATCGATTGATATGAAAATTTACTGTTCAAATTACATTGAGTTTTTTTTTTCAAATATTCCATAAACTGTCCGAAAAAATTATTGCTCAAATAGGATTGCTGTGCTAAAATGTTGCGCTAAAATTATTGAAACGTTATCCAACTGTTTAGCATTAATATGCTTAACTTGAAATTAAAAAATCAATATTAATGAACGAAATATATTCCTATACAGTAATAGAATCCGAAAACAGTATTACCAATATTTGATTATCGTACCTCATTTTTAACAGCTTCCCGTAATTTTTTAATGTTTTCTTTATCTTTTTCCGATAAATTAGATAGTGGCATCATAAATCTGAAATATAATATCATTTAGCAAATAAATACCGAATGGGATCAGAAGACATAACAATGCTTTTATCAGTCCATTTTTTAAATAAATTTTTTACCGGTTAAGTTGAGAGAATTTACATGAATGCTTAATTAATTCTTCGCGCCATTAGCTTCTTGAAGAATTTGAGAATGTTCAACTAAGCGAATTTCTGAAAATGTTTAATTAAAATTGCTTTATAAATCTGAGCATCTTTGAAAAAAATTTTTTGATTACAAAAGAAACGATGAAAATTTAGAACAAAATTTTCATGATATTAACATGCTGTCAGATAAAAATTTTATCGAAAATTTTCATGAGAATGAAAAAAGTGATGAAAAGAACGGCAAAAAAATAATTTCACGGAACAATTATAATGAAATTGTAATCGCTGTAATCGCTGTAATCCAATGCTGTAAAAAGTATCATCCATTTGGTCGATATTTGTTTACAATGTTGGATTTAACACTTTATTGATGTTATATGTGCAAAGCTAACATTATTTTTAGCTAATTTTGACAAAATAATGAAAGAAATGACCGCATATCCAATAACTCTCAATGCAGGAGGAGCCGTGTCAATCTCTCAAAATATATGAATAGCATTCTTCTACTATCGTAATTTAAATTTTCCATTCTAAAAGCTCAATAAAACAAAACAGGTCAGTTAATCTTGATAAATATCAGAACCAGTTATCCTTATCAGTTTTATCAACAGAATAATCATGGTGGCTCATTGCCATTCATTATCTCATATCGTTTATTTTTTTAATGATCTAAAAACAATCTTTTTCTTTTAAATAAAAAATCATTAGATAAAGGAATACAGCCAATGTTGTTAAATTATCATTTTAATCTTTTTTTTTTGTTTTTCTATTTTAAATTTTATCATATTCTGAGTTATTTTAAATTTTATCATATTCTGAGTTATCTATTATAGGTACTGCTGGTAGCATAACATATTTAGGCCTTCTAAACTCTGAATTCTTCGATATGTTGACCAGAATGCCATCTGATCAAGAAAATATGCTCATTTATTTTGTGGCTAAATGCAAAAGTTAATTATTACTCTTGTCTTTCTTATTAATTATGTTTAATTACTTCTCCATACTAAATAAGTTAACATGATATTCAAATTATTAAAAGTATCTGGAAGTTGACAAAAAGATTGGTTAATGTCGACTGGTTTTTTTGGTCATACTTAAATGATCAAGAATGTGATAATCTAAGTGATTTAAAATGCAGCAAAATCTAAAACAGAAATTACGGATCAAACTGACAATTTCGCAATACTAACTATATTTATTTATTTACAATTTTGTAATACAAAAAACAAAGATTATTTTTTTAAATAGCTAAAAAATTTTAAAATGTGAAACAGTGAATTACAGTCAATAATGAACGCTCTGTTGATAATGATGATAAGAAATTTTATCTGATAGCTTTATCAGCCTATTATTATTAACCATTATTACTAACCAAAATTAATAGCCTGTTTTGCTTATTTTGAAGCTTTGAAATGAAACGTAAATCGTGATGGTGAAAAAAAGATGAAATTGATGTCTTCGTAAAATAAAGTACCATTCTCTGAACGGAAAAAGTTTCCAATATTTCATTTTAGCCTTTTTTTTATTTTTCAAGCAAAATTTCTGTCAAACTATTAAAAATGGATTTATTATATCAAAAAGTAATGAAAATTTGGAATTTATGCATTAATTTTTCACTGCAAAATAATGTGAAATGAAATGACAGATAAAGAGAAAAAGAAAGGGAGAGAGAAAGAAAGTGGGGAAATATGTGATGATAGAAGTTCTCTCCGAAAGTGACAGAGCCTTAGGGCAAATGATTCGCATATCATTTAAAGTGTGTTACCCCAATTTACATTCATTCCATGCCCTTATTATTATTATGGGTATATTTATCTTTCTGCACTAAAGAATTGTTGACAATGATAACTTAAATATCCGTTTTAAATTTAATAATACTTGGAAAAGAGTAGAACAAAACTTTTATTTCAATTTAATTTTACTCATTTTTAAAATAAACTGAAATAAAATTGATTTCTTTGATTTTTAATCCTCCATCCGCATTTTGGGTTCATTTTATCACGTCAATTTGAATTTCATTAAAAGATTTTATTCCCTATCCATTTTTTTAATAACTTATATCTCAAAATTATATTTAAAAGAATGAAGAAATAAATAATTTTGAATTAATAAATATAATACCGTCTTTTATTATGCAAACAAAGAATTTTACTAAAAGTTTCGTTTGTGATTTAAATAAAGAACAGTGTGTTTAAAAAAATATATTTCATTTTTAAAGTTGGAAAAAATTACGCTTTGAAATTAGCAATTGAGTGAAGTACTTTAGAACGACGAGCAACAATGACAAAATAGACGAAAGAGGTGTGATTGGGATGATTGGAGGAAGAGTTGCGGCACATCAGTGAAAAACCGGTCGGTTCCATGTAACATTATTCTGCGGGTTGATTCTTATCATTACTTCTGATCGATAGTTAACAGTATTTGATAGTTCAGTCAGTTCAAATTACATCACTTCTTATATATCATTTATGAAATGAATAAAACTCGATCGCGCAGTACTCTCGTTCAATCATTTCCAGCATAGGTATGAAATTGTCAAAGTTTATTTCATAAACATAAATCAATGATTACCGACAATAAGTTTACAAGTAAAAACATTAACAATACATATCTTTCAAAGTTCATTTTATTTCTCTAAAAGGACATTTTATTTTTTTGAAAACGAAAAAAGTTTTTAACTGTTTCTTACTTTCCATGCTGGAAATAAATTCTCTGAAGTGAAATAGTTTCTTGATATCATATTTATGTAATCAAATAAGTATGATCACAAATAGAAGCAACTGTAGAAATAAAATATTCATAAATTTATTTCTATTTTGAAATTTTTTTTTTCGAAAATTCACTTGCTTAATTTAACCTTACATCTGAACTGAACTTTAAATAATCTTAATAACCTTTTGAATTTGGGCATTCAAGTATCTGAACAGACATTATAAAATTGATTCGCAGCATGTTAATTTAATTGCTGATTATATTTTGAAAATTCTTTGCTAAACGAGCATTTATTCAACCGGAATTTCTTACATTCAAAAAAATAATAAAAGACACAAAAAAATATTTTCTGATATTACAAATGGTGACCTCTTCACTAAGCAAATCAAAAAAAAGCAGCAATAAAATTTTTGTATTACATTATGCATGAAATATTACACCATTATAGACGATTGAAACAACCGGATGGTGGTACCGGAAGTCTTCGACTGTTCTGTACCGGTATTACCGGCACCCCCCGAATACCCGTCATATTGATTGCAAATAAACTACCACCATTTCCATTTTGAGCATCAGCTAACATTGACGTATGTTCTGCTTTTCCTGTCAGACCACTCAAATATGATTCCGTTCTGTTCAATGATTCCAAGCGACGATTGAGCAAAAAATTACTGTGAAATTCATCTTCCGCAGTTTCTTCTATGAATTAAATTTTAATTAAACATTTTTGTTTAGTATTATTTGTATTTTGATGATTGATAATATCATTTTCAAAGATAACAAGTGAATAATCTCAAGTGATAACAAACCGCAAATATCTTTACGACAGATTGGAGGTAATGGCGGTCTTCGGTATGGATCTAAATTGCTTGCGGAATTCTGGCGCATCATCCGAAGATTTTCCTGCCTATCGAAAATCGATTTCGGACAGCATAACATCCACCTATATTTTTCAGTGTCCAAAATATCAAAAAAATTAAAATGCGTAATGTCTGATATCTTTAGCCGTTATACAAAGATGAAAATTTAATTTTCAATTCTGTTTATTATTATTGTAAATCTGATTTTCCAATTCTAATTCTCTGTTTATTATTATTATAAAATAGTTATGGAAAATTGCAATAAACTAACCTTGGCCACATAAGTTGTGATATGTTATCAGTGGAATCAGTAATTCGTTGATCGCTTCCATTGCTTTCTCTGGATTTTTTACTGCAATTTCTTTATAGTATTAATCGATAAAGCTAATTAGCAAATTTTTAAAATTAAGGAGTCAGTGAAATTAATTAACAAAATTAGATAGCTGTTGTTGTTTCATTCATATATGTTCCCTGTAAGTAACAAACTGCTTTATGGAATGGTGGCAATTTATGGTGACAACATAGGTAAGTGATGTCAAGCATTATTTAAAACTAATTAATGAGCAGAAATGAAGTGAACCGAAACTTTAAAATAAAAAATAAAAGCTTACTTCTTGCTCATTAACAGGTAAGTTACAACAGTGATAAAAATAACAATAATCAATGATGTACCGGCACCAATTGAAATCCATATAAACCATGGAATTTCTCCGGAAAATAAGTGATAATTAAAAATTCAGCACTGACAAATTAGATGAATTAAATTAAATTAAACTGAAATAAACTAAAATTCTTTTAGTTGTAATTTTTTGTCGTTTCTAAAGTGGAGAAGAATAAAAATTCTGATGATGTTATGATGAGTTCTGATTCTGATGATTTTGATTCTGATGTTCTGATTCTAAAAATTCCGATGACTTTGCTGCTGATGATTGCGGAACAATCAAATTTTATGATTTGTATTCGATGAAATTGAGGAAAAAAAAAGGGAGATAAAAACCTTGTCAAATCATGGAAGAGAACTGGAAAATTTACAAAAGCAAAAAAAAAATGAAACTGCAAATTAGAAAATTAATCAATAAAAAAAAACAACCAAAAGAGGAATGTTATGAGAAAAAATTTTCCAATAATAAAAATGTTGAGTAGTTCTTGAAATTAATGCATCTTTCTTTCGAGTCGAAAATTTTGTTTTTATAATAAAATTTAAAATTTAAGCATTGCCATACCAAAGTAGCCAATGTAAATTAGATATATTAGCTGCGAACTGGCAATTGTGCTTGAATAAGATAAAAAAAGAAAGAAATAGAAACACAGATTGTGCAGTTTAAATCTTTTTGGTAAATGATTATGATTGATAATGATATTTGCAATCATTTAATTATTCATTCCAATTCATTTCCTATTGATGGCATAACAGCAAAGGATGAATTGGGGGGAGATAAACATGCAAAAATTAATTTAAATTTTTTGTAAACTTCCCGGTTGATTTGGTATGAATGGATTGATCAAATGAATTTTATAGCAAATTGATATAGAAACGATGAATAAAAATTACATAGTGAGAAAACTAATAAGAAAAAATAAATAAATATTTGGTATAATTTTGAAAAAAAAATTAAATTCATACCAAAAATATTCCAATCATTGATTGCGTTGAAAAAATTTTGAACTGTTGAATTTGTTGAAGTTACTGTCTGTGTCACATTAATATCATTACTATTTCCACTACCATTTGCCGTTGAATTATCAAAAAATTTTATTACTGCATCATCAAATCTTAACTGAGACCAATTATCAGTTATTACTGCTGTTACGGCATCAATGTTGGTTTCAGCGACGGAGATCTTTTCCTTATATGCAAAAATCGTTTCATTGTCCATTCGTCTCCGATTATTTTTCCCATAGAATTTGAATTCAGTGAAGTTTGAAAATTTGAATGATGTTAGCTGATTTTACTTTACACATATTTAATAATCTGAAAATGAATTCCACTCAAGTTAAAAGCACTTACATTCATCAACACGCTAAATTCATAATTAAACAAAAAATAATGTGAAATTTACAAGCCTGCATAGTCTATTTAATTTAACGAAGAAAATAACAATGCTAATCAATGAATTCAATTTACTCCACTTATAATATCACGCAAACAAAATAAAAAGATTCGAAAATTTTATCAAAACTGTAGAAGCTTTGAAAAGTTAGAGAGATTGCATTTTAAACTTTGATTGTTTTATTTTAAATAAATTTCAGATATAACTTTTGCTATTAGAGAGTTCATACAGAGTTAGATAAATTATAAAAGAAGAAACTATCCTAAAATTATTACAAAATGAGGCAAAATGGAATTAACATTTTTGTTCATTGCAAGAATAGAAGTTTTGTTTTTGATTTGTTAACAAAGAATATTGCTATCAATGAACTTCTTTAAGTTAAAAGATTATCCCTAAATCGTAAAAAGAATTTTAGTTGGTTTATTAAATTAAACTTTATGTTAAAATTTTAGCACAAACTGACCTATTTAATGAGATATATGAAAGGAAAAAAGAAAGTGCGGGATATTATTTAATTCAGCATTTCTTGAAAAGTGCATTTCTATCTTTCATTTGTAATGGAATGCATAAAAGCTGAGAGAATATTGAAAACTGATTTTTTTTTTAAAATTAATGCTTCAATCAAAAACATTAATCATTGCACATTCTTATGCATATTTATTTGAAATGTAAATAAATTGAAAATAGTGTTAAATTTTCGAAATAAGCTTCAGACGGAACATTTGCAAATGAAATAAACACGCTTTCTTTGGTTCAATCAAACAAGAATAATGCATTAAAAGATTAATTAATAGTAAATTTTCATTTTTTTAATTTTATTTTTTTACACTGATCTTTTTACGAACAAACTGTTTCATCAATTCCAGAAATAATATCACTCAGTAATTTTCCACTATTAGAGAAAATATTAATGCTTTATAATGATTGAAAATTTTTTCAAAAAAATTTTTTAAATTAAATGTGCAAATATGAATCATTGTCTCCTACTCGTATACGTTTATCCATTGGTGATTAATTGAAATATTTTGAAACTATTCTATTGTAATTTAAAATTCATGAGATAAACAGTTAATGTTACCCGGGCAAAAATAGTACGGTTAAATGCTTTAAAAGAGTTAATGATTGTTTTAAAAATGAAAACTATCATTATCAGCGATATTTCATTGCTTAATGGTTTATTTTAAGAGGTTCTCAGTAACTATGAGTGAAATGATGAATCAAACCTAAGTGAAAATTTAAGACAAGTTAAAATGTAAAATTAAATTTAGATAAGCAAACATGTAAAGTCATTCAATCTATATTAGTAAAATTTTAATAAAAAAATGATCACCTTTAACAAAATTTGTTCAAATAATAACAGTATTGAAATTATTGATGTAAGTGATAAATGAATAAGATTGCTAACATTCATATTTAACAGTACCATTGCTAAATGTAATGTATCCAAAGTAGAATAATCATAATAAATGCATCAGCCGGATGAGTATCGATTGGAATGTTTTATTCAAAAGTTAAATTAGCCATTTAAAACGTATTTGTTTTGAGTAAGCTTACTCACTAACAATCATTGATTGTATTCTTAGTCTATAAGCGATTGAATATAAAATTGCAATTATTTAGTACAAATTGACCAAAAATTTAAGTAAATAATGAATAATAGAATAAAAGGGAGAAGGAAAATACCATTTGTTGCTTGTTTCTCTTAGCAACGAGATTGAATAGATTAGCTATGGACAGATTTGTCTCAATTCAGTTCAAAAATCTTTCATAAAATTTTCGCTTAAATTTAATTCAAAAATGCTTCATAAAATTTTCGTTTAAATTCAATTTAAAAATCTTTCGTAATAATCAATTATATTTCTTTTATTCATCTTCTTTCTCCTCTTATTTTCATCATTCATCCATTTTTTTTGGTTGTTTTGTTGTAACAGAAAAATTAATAAGTAAGTAATAAAAATAGATAGTGAAACAAAATTTAATTAGTAAACTTTTAGTCATCTAAAATTTCTACTCTCCCATGTATTCTCTCTATTCAATATGAATAAATTCATGTATTATTGCCATTAAGATATGGAAATTCTTGAAATAGAGATTGATTCGTTAGGTTTAGAATACTTTCATCTTTTAATGCGATATTTAAATTAGTTTGCTATCAATAATAATGAAATAAGTATGCGCAAAATGTTTCTTACAGGATCATATTGTTTTAAACGATTTCCAATTCAATTTTTTGTTGATAAATTAGAATTTGCTAATAGTGGTAATAACAATTTAAAAAATGTATGAATTATATTGAAATAAAAATAATTATATTATATTATTTCCAATTCTGTTATTTATGAATTCAACTGAGTTAGAGTAATTAAGGTAAAACAATTGAAGTATTGCCGTTACTAATTGACAAATGTTCATAACTTAGTTGAACGGAAAAAAAACTTTAGAACGAACTGGTATGTTGTTGAATACTCTCTGATCCCTATATGATATCTCTCATATCATCCTTTTCCGGTTCATCACAACAAAACATTTCAGGGAAGCAATTGGTGCTGATTTAATCCTCGGGAAGCACATCATTGCTTCACTATAAAAAAAAAAAATGTAATGAATTTAAAATTATGTTTTTTGCGAGCTTTCTTTTCTTCTAAAAAGTTGAAAAATTTTTTGAAAGATATTTATCTTTCAATGTGAGAAAAACAGTTGCTAAAATCCGTTCCTAAAAGGTTAATTTTTAACAATTAATCAATTAAATATTCATCGTAAGAATTTTTTGCCGAAATTTTGTGAAAATCACCTCTTATGAGCAGTTAAGTTCCACAAAAAATGGTACAAATCAAAAAAAAGAGAAAAAAATTAAAATGAAAGAGAAATAGGAAAATGAAATGAAATCAACTATTCATTCAATTTTAATTAGACAAAATTAAGCTTATTTAAATTCATTTAAAATAAGTTATAATTTCATTTTTTTTTTCAAACACGTTTAGTTTAATCAGTAATTATATATTATCAATTAATCAAACATTAGAATGTC